TCCAGCGTGGCCATTCGCCGCCACTTCTTGCAAGACAAGTTTTTCCGGTATGCTCCATGTGCAAAGGCTTTTTTATCGCTGTTGGATGGTGGATGGTGGAGGGGGGTCGTATGTGACCAGCGGAATTTTTATAGCTGATTTTCCCTGTTCCGTGCGCTATGCTATTAACTGCAGTGGGAGACTACAGGCTATTTTGTAGGCTATTTTTCGTAGAACAGGCTATTTTGCAGGTTTTTTCCAGCGACAGGACGCGCTCCGCCCATTGAAGTGGATGAATACTGTAGAAAGCGAAACACACCACATAAAGCGCGTGAGCTGCTAACTCAGATCAGATGTGTACCAAGAGGTCACTACGCGACATCGCGCAACATTGGATACGCCGCGTGTTTGACAGTTGACTGGAAGTGTGTGTTAAAGATAGACACTGCCCCATACCGCAAGACAGCATGCATCTGAAGGAGAGCAGCAAAGATGAGAGGCAAACTAGAATCGATTGCTGCGCGTGCCACATACCCCAAATCTGCGCGATGTCGCGTGGGACCTCTTGTAGTTTCACACCTACTCAGACATTAAATTAACGCTTGGGAGGGTTACTGAGATCAATCAGCTGCAGAAAGCTCTAGTTTTCTGATGGAGAGGAGTTTTTCCTAAGCTGTGCAAAAAGCTCAACGAAATGCATAGTTCATGGTTGGGCAGAGATGGTTGGGAGGTGCCACACGGTAGGCGGGATGGCACGTCATGTCTGCGTCCTCTAATCGAAAGGAAAGTGTCGTGCATACCGCGCTGCCACGTAGCTCCTCCAACTGCCTCTGCCCCGAAAGCTCATCGGCCCCACAAGGTCTGTTCATAAAACCTTGTAGAAAACACAGAAAAAAGGTGAGTAGAACACCTTGGGGCCGTGTTGGGGGCCATGTTGGGGGCCGTAGCAGGTCGCGCTTAATTTACTATCCACTATATCACACAAACACATTTCTCTCGAAGCACGCATTGTCGGTGCATGTGGGAACTTCATTTGTGCTTTGGGACCAGGGTGCAGCATCGTTGGGAGAATTCTATCGGGTACGGGGCATTTACACTAGTTTTCTTAAGAATTTCATATATATTCATATATATCGTATACTTCTACTTTTCAGTTGAGTGCGCGGCAGAACTATTAGACAAGTCAGTAATTCTGCCAGCTGGTAGGAGAGGGTGGTAGGAATCTCTCCCATCGGCGGAGCTGTTTTTCGGGGATGGATAAATGAAAGGAAAAGGGATAGAGTCTCCCCTGACGATCAGTCCCTTTCCGGGATGCGGCACGCATTCTACTTCCATTCAGAATCGTAGTGGCTTATTGAATGCGATGTGGCCTATACAATGACTTGCGGGGCCAGCCGATGTACAAGTCAGTGTTTTATCCTCCCAGACGAATCTGGTACCAATTTACCGTCCCTGGAGGGTAGAAGGCTGATGGCCTTAGGCGAGACTCGAGCCGGGATTCGAACCTAGGACCGCGCAAGTGGCAAACGCGCCACTTGTCACTACACCAGCTCCGTCTCTTTTGGGGATGACTTGGTAAATATCTGGAAAATTTGGACTTGGAAGAATTTGGTACGGTGGTAGATGTGCTGTAAAGGGAATCATATTGGGAGAGGCAACGCTAGGGGTGGTCGTATTGGAAGAGCAACTCTTGGAGAGGCACGTTATACGTTGAGGATCACCTGCAAAGGGGGTCACATTTGGACACTGTAGGGGAAGAAGGTCGTATAAGCTTCTGAAAAGTGTGTTTTCAGACTAGGAATTAGGAGAGGAGACTGGGAATTTTTCCAAAAATGCGGTATAAAGTTGAGAAGTTCCGTAGAATTTGGCAAGGTGGTGGCGATGCGGGTTGGGGAAGGGGGTCGTACCATCGGAGGAAATTTTGGAAGGGGGTGGTGTTTTGAACATTTTTGGCCCAAATGCAGAACGTGCCCAGACTGACATTGCCATTTCACCCATTTCGATGCTGTACCCTGTTTAAGATGGCTGTGCTGTGTATTTTTAAACTCTCGAACCTTATCAAAATATCCGGTAACGGAGGAGGCATCGGCATTTCGCTAAACGTCATCGATAACGTTTGAAAATTAATATTTTACGAAAAAAACCCTATGTGAACTGTACCTTTCATTGGGCGTCTGTGGAAGATGGCGCCTCGGATGTTGCTGAGATGATGACGATCCGGCTGGTGACGTCCATGATGGATTGTTTTGAGGTGGTGGGGAAATGACGCTACCGTTCGCTTCAGGACGAACAAATTCTGGCACTTCTTTGTAGAACCAGGCACCCGACTTTTTCCACAACTGTAAATATTAACCGTTGTAATTCAACAAAATGATAAGATTAAGCACATGCGGTTAACAAAGCCATAGCATCGAAGATGAGGATATTGATGGATGATGGCTGCAACAGGATAAAGCAACTTTGGATAAAGAGCTAGATATTTGAAGGAGCAGAAACGTCCTCGTTAAGAGCATGTCCCGTTCCGGACAACACCCTCTTTTTGACTGTTGTCGCGAGTCAGAGTTTGAAAGCAAATTCCACGATGGCCGAAAATGGGCGGAGTCGGACCGCTGCGCTTTTCGCATCAGGTAGCCTTACCACTGATTT